TGAACCTCAATCATACATTTTCTTGAAGGCATTTCAATAAATCGAGTGTAACTTTAAAAGTGACAATACACTGTTAAGCAGTGTTCAGAATGTTCATCTCTGGGATACGAAAACAACTATAATGCTAATTTACAGTCAGTCACTACTGATTATAAATACATACAATAAATGAGTGACCCATGACCAATTACAGCATGGAATACATTCTTCTTACCTTTATAATCACTGTATAATAAATTCTCAAGAAGCATGGGAAAGTTATCAAAAGAATGCCTGCTCAGGAAAAAAAAGAATACATATATCTGTATTTGGTAAACTTTCTGTTTACCCTGAACAAAACAAAAATAAATCAGTGAATATAACAAGTAAAATGTAATTCAAAATCCATGTTCAAGCCGTACCAGTAAACACTACAAGCAAAATCTATTTAGCATATAATCAACATTGACCACATTGATTTGATACATTATCTTTTTAACCAATCATGTACCTAAAAAGAAAAACCTAAACCATTGTTGCAAACAGAAATTCAACAATGCTGTTAGTACAGCAAATTTTACAAGATTCTCTAATTCCTAGTATTTGTCAGAACTGGGACACCACTTTCAAAATAAAATGCAGAATCTGTTCTATAATATGCCAAGTACTGAATCTGTAAAATGTAAAAGCTTCTTGAACAACCAAAGCCATAGAGGAGCTTTACATAGCTTTCCACAGTCTAGGAATGTTGGAAATTGAGCAGCACTGCCTTTTTTTTAAAGCATGATACAGTGATAGTAATAGTAATACAAAATAAAGAGTTCTGACTCGATTCCTGTGTGAGAACTCACTGATTACAAAAATCATCTCCTTTGGAAAAGACAATAGGGCTGCACATTGAGACATTTAGTCCTGTGAACTTTACAAGAATCTTCTTGACACCGTGGCGTTCTATCATTGTGGCAAAGATTCTAAAACATTACGCATGTTTTCAGCAGTAACTAAAGGTCTGATTTCAAAGAGGAACACATAAATGAATGCTTTCAAGAGAGAAGGATGCAAAGTTGTGCTGTTGGAATTTAGTAACTGATATAAAATGGCACTTCGCAGTCAAAAGAAAAAATTATTTTTGATTAAATAAGGGCTGAGACTATCCACTGTAAGGTACTTAAGGATCCACGTTTATCTCTAACTTCGTCACCACATACTATACGGTATGAAACAAATGTTTCGAGGGATACATATTTTTAAAAGGTACCAACTCTAAACCAAAAGGGCCAAAAACCTCCCAGAGGACGCCCAGCACCAGAATAAAGAAACATCCTCAACAATATCACACCTACCTAACAAAATGTAAGAAAAGAAGCTGCATCCCATTTCAAGGCTTTCGAGGTTTTTCAGGGCTGAGAATATGGGGCGGGGGCGTGGACGAATTCGGGAGAGAACTGCTCAAAAAAGCGAAGAAATAAAGAGAGATGTGTTTTTCCGACCAGAGACTTCTCTAATGACACAGGCCTGGAAAGGGGATCGCCAGGAACCCCCGAAAGTCCCAGGCTGGACAGGATTCCTCAGGTAGGGGACCCGTCACCTGAGCTACAGGTGTCAGCGACAACAGCGAGGACCTAAGACCTCGGCGCAGGCAAGGGCAGGCTCATGGCAGGATACGCAGACGGCTCTCCTTGCCGGCCCCGAATCTCGCCAAGCTGGCCACGGGGGCCGGGGTTCCCCGGAGCGTGAACACTCACCTGTGGCTGCCGAGGATCCTTGGGAAACCGCCCACCGCCAGGCGGAGGGGAACGGCCGTGCGTGGCTCAGGGCGGCTAGGAAGTAGGGCCCTGCCCAGCCCCAACCACTGGGCTCCGTGCTCACGGCCCCAGGACGGCGGTGGCCAACCGTCACCAGCCCCCACTGCTGCTTCAGCTCGCCGAGAATTTGAAGGCAAACCCGTCAGGGTCACTTCCGGTGCCGGGGCTGGCCTCGGCGATTCCAGCGCACGCGGGGCGACGCCCCGGGAGCGAGGACGCCGGGAGGCGTGCGCGCGCCGGGCGCCAGGCACCGGGCGGGGAGCTGGGCGGGGTTGGCTGGGACGCGCCTGCGCAGTCCGCACCGCCTCCTGGCGGCGGTCGGGGCGGAGAAGAGGGATGGCAGGGGTTTAAATTATTATCACGTATCGTACCTTGGTAACTTTTTCCAAAGTTCTCGCTCACTTTTCCTCCCATTTGATTTTTACCGCACTCCTCAGAGATTAGAAAGTCAGAGTGTCTATTTTAGAGGTGAGAGTCAAGGGCCAAAAATCTGTTTATGACAAATCCAAATACGCAGAATTCGACTGAGGCTCTTGTCACGACATAAGATGAATAAAACAGGGAATGGGTAAACAAAGATATTCGGACAAGCTGCTAGTGGAGTTTTATTTTCTTGGTCATCGTTTTAATACAACCGGACAACACACAATACTATGTTGTTTCAGGATTTACAGATACGGACTCCACAGTACGATTGGCCATGCTTCTTCCTCCAGTCTCAATCTCCATCCTCTTCCTCCACCTAAGGTGGAATGAGGCACTAGACACGTTTTCCTTAGGGAGTGCATGGTAATTAAACTTCTAACCTTAAGTCATCAATTTAACACAGATTTATATAAAGGCAATTCAAGGGAAATACATCAATTTAGTCCACAAATATTTATTGAACTACTATGCTGTTGACACTGTTGTAGGCATTGAGTATATATATAGCAATCAAAAAAATTTAACGTCTCATGGAGCTCAAAGTCTTGTAAAATTCTCACCTAAGTAGAAAATAGTAGTTTTACTAGGGTGGATAGGAACTCCATTGTAATGGAGCAAAGGAAATTGTAATTAGTATATCTTTAAAAAAAAAATTGGGGGGGTGGTTCAGATTAATTACCCTAGTTAGCCTGAATCAACCTTCACCTTTTATATATGTGCAAAGGCATGCTGAATTATAAAGCCCATTTGTACTTTTAAAACTTCTTAAAACAGAGGTGCCTGAGTGGCTCAGTGGTTAAGCAGCCAACTCTCTTGGTTTTGGCTCAGGTCATTGGTTAAGCAGCCAACTCCCTTGGTTTTGGCTCAGGTCATGATCTCAGGGTCCTGGGATGGAGCCCGATTCTCTCTCTCCCTTTGTCCCTCTTCCCCCGCCCCCGCCCGCACTCACTCTCTCTCTACATATATCTTAAAACAAAACAAAACGAAACAAAAACTTCTCAAAACAAAATACATATTATATAATTGCATTTATATGAAATTCTAGAATGAGCAAATCTAATCTATAGCAACAAAAAGCTCGCTTGAGGCTGGATTTAAGGGTGGGAGGAGGGAGGAAAAGAATTATACTTCAGAGAGGCATGAGGAAAGGTTTTGAGGTGATGGAAATGTTACATATCTCAATTAGGGTAGGGGCTGCACAAATGTATATATTTATTAAAAAACTCTTCGAAGAGAACACATAAAATGGATGCATTTTATTGTGCATAAATCATACCTCAATGAAGTTGATTTTTAAAAATTTTATTATGTTATGTTAATCACCATACATTACATCATTAGCTTTTGATGTAGTGTTCCATGATTCATTGTTTGCATATAACACCCAGTGCTCCATTCAAGACGTGCCCTCTTTAATACCTATCACCAGGCTAACCCATCCCCCCACTCCCCTCCCCTCTAGAACCCTCAGTTTGTTTCTCAGAGTCCAGAGTCTCTCATGGTTTGTCTCCCCCTCCGATTTCCCCCCCTTCATTTTACCCTTCCTACATCTTCTTTTTTTGAACATATAATGTATTACTCATTTCAGAGGTACAGGTCTGTGACTCAACAGTCTTACACAATTCACAGCGCTCACCATAGCACATACCCTCCTCAATGTCTATCACCCAGCCACACTATCCCTCCCACCCCCCACCCCTCCAGCAACCTTCAGTTTGTTTCCTGAGATTAAGAATTTCTCGTATCAGTGAGATCATATGATACATTTTTAAAGTAAAAAACCTGAAAAGAGCGGCTTACATTCACTAGTTCAGTTTCTTCACTAGTTGTCCAGTTAGGGAAGACTATGCTAAGCTGTAGTAGCCCCTAAATCAGAGGTTTCAAACAACAGGATTTTTTTTTTTTTATATGAGTATAAACCCCCTTATACCAAAAAAGAACTCTGAGTTTACCAAAGGGGCTATAAACTCATGCCCCTTTGAACACTTTTTTTTCTCGTTTACTCTATATGTTCATAGCAGAGTGAATGCAGGCACTGGGACCCTTGGCCATGGGGAAAAATAGGGTGGGGGGGGAGTAACTTGCACAACTTCTGCCTGGATATGATACATGCCAGTTCTGCCCACATCTCGTTGGCCAGAGCAAGTCATGTGACCAAGCCTGACTTCAAAGGGACAAGGATGTGCAACTGCAGTCTGCTCTGAAGGAGAGACAGTATTTGTATACCACACTCCTGACTACTACACTAGCCATTTCTTCTTTTACAGGGTAGCTTCTACAACCACCAGCCTTCTGAAGCGATTGTGTCCAAACTGGGAGTCAGAAAATTATTATTATTATTATTATATTATATATTTTTTCCTAGTGAGTAGTCAGATTACTTTGGCAGAATGACAGGGCACATGAAGGGATATTACGGAAAAAGAAGTAGAAAGGTAGGTGCCAAAAAAGGGTGTAAACTTTATTCAATAGGCAAAAAAGGAGCCAATGAAAGTTTTCAAATGAAAGCATAAGTGACACAGCAAATAGGGAGATTAATTTGGCAGCTGTGAGTAGGAAGATTTGAAGGGGAGGAAGAAGAGATTGGGAGACTGTTGTAAGAGGTGTAGTGACCTCTGGAATTACACAGAAGATAAAGATATTTCTAGAAAAAATAAATACATTAAATCATTTTTTAATGTAAATTTTTATTATTTACTGTTTTATCTATTAAATTTAAATTTTAAAAACTTATGTTTCATCAGAGAAATCTAAAAGGACTTTCAGGACCGATTTATTAATTTTACTCACCTGGTCAGTTGTATCTGGCAATCCTTGCCTACATCTTCAAACATTTGAGCCATCTCTTAGAATACAGAGTATGTATAAGATGAGAAAATTCTAACCATGATTAAGAATCTGTTGAATTTTTAGATTATGTGGCAATATTTGCAGTAACAAACAGGGGCAGATCCCCAGCGTTGTTCACTAAGCTTTTCTTCCCAAATAATAGCTTCCATCACTGTCGTGCTACTGCCAGACTGCTGGATACTACGGGAAAAAAAAAAAAAGAAATCACACCACCATGAAGATTGATGCACCACAATTATGTAACTTCCAACCCACCTGAAATACACTTTTCTGCATGTTCTGCCTCAGTTCTCTCCTACTCGCTTCACATCAGTTATTTCAAACTTTCACCACTTTCCTCAAGCCAACTTCTACCCATTTCCGCCCTTTCAGCAAATCACGATGTCTCCACCAGAGGAGAAAATGGAAGCTATCAGATTGAAATTCCCTCAACTTGCTCCCTGTGGCAGAGACTACCATCTGGCCACCAAATACTCATTTTCTTACTCAGTAACAGAACCAAGCTTGATGGAATGGGACCATCTGGAATGCAGACTACATTTCCAGACTCTCATGCAGTTAGGTGTGGCCATGGATCTGACTTCTGGCCAGTGGAAGTGTTATATAGAACTCTTAGGAAGACACCTTAAAGGGAGAGGTCCTGAAACTCTCCCTTACCCCCTTCTCACCATCCCCTCTTTTTACCAGGTGAGAACAGGGAACAGATGGATAGAAATAAGCAGCCAGCTGCTGATGTCAGTCACTTATAGGATATAAGCCATATGATGAAGGTAGCAGAATTGAACAGACGAAGTGTGGGCTGACTTTGTGGAGCTGCCATACCTGCTGTGGAGTGCCAACTCCAGATACTGTATGTCTAAGCAGTGATTGGGTTTTGGGTTTTATATGCAGTTAAACCTAATCACAATGCTTGTACCCTCCAATTTACACATGCCTCTGCTTCACACTTGCCCTTTGGCTTTTGCCTCCCGTTTCAATGAAAGCTTAGTTTCCTTTGTCTACGCTCAGGTCCTCCACTTGAACTTAAAAGATTTTGGTTTTATTGCCACTTTATGTATTTATATTTATATGGTTCAAAATTCAAATGATACAAAAGGCTATATAGTGAGAAGTCTACTTTCTTGCCAACCTTGAAATCCAGTTCCCATCCCCAGAGATAATCAATGACATCAAATTCATTAATTATCTTCCAGAGATACTTTTATTCTACATGCAATTAAATAATGCAATTTATTGGCCCTCTCATGGGTTTTCTCATATTCTGCCAGTTTATGTCTTCAATCAAAGGACATTCCCTTTTGGTTCTTACACCCTTTATTTTCCTACTGGGATTTCCTATCTTTACATTTGTTATGAGAATATTTTTCTTTACATCATTGTGCATAGTTTTTTTTTATGATTTTATTTATTTATTTGAGGGGGGGAGAGCACAGAGGGAGAGGGAGAGGGAGAGGGAGAGGGAGAGGGAGAGGGGAGAAGCAGACTGCCCGCTGAGCAGAGAGCCCGATGTGGGACTTAATCCCAGGACCCTGAGCTCATGACCTGAGCTGAAGGCAGACACTTACCCAACTGAGCCACCCAGGCGCCCCATCACTGTGCAAAGTTTTAAGAGCCATTGTACTCTGCCAATTCCAGATGTTGGAATAGGCTCTTGGGGTTGATCTCCACTGTTTTTTCTTTTGAGAATAGGTCATATTTTTTTGTATTTCTTTGTATGACAGGTAATTTTGAAGTGTATCCTTGATATTGGATATGTTATGTTATACTCTGGTTTAAATCTGTGATAGATCTCTGGAGGTGTTTTTTAGTTTGTTTTGTTGTTAAGCAGGCAATGAACTTGATTTGATTTGCTTTCTGTTGGGCAGCACCTCAAATGCCAGTTTAATTCTTTTGTTCTTAGGATGCCTGGATTCTTCCCCACAGATGTGTGGCAATGATTCAGCTAGAGATTTGGGGCTTTCTCAGGCAAGATATCATGAAAATTAGATACTCAGGGCGCCTGGGTGGCTCAGTTGTTAAGCGTCTGCCTTCGGCTCAGGTCATGATCCCAGGGTCCTGGGATCGAGTCCCACATCGGGCTCCCTGCTTGGCGGGAAGCCTGCTTCTCCCACTCCCCTGCTTGCGTTCTCTCTCTCTCTCTCTCTGTTGAAAAATAAAAATAAAAATCTAAAAAAGAAAGAAAGAAAGAAAGAAAGAAAGAAAGAAAGAAAGAAAGAAAGAAAGAAAGAAAGAAAGAAAGAGAAAGAAAATTAGATACTCATCTAGTGCCATTCCGCTCTTTCAAGGGTTGACTTCCATTCAGAATCTGCCTGCTCTTGGTTCCACTCAGTATCTTTAGGTGGCTGTTTTTGTATTTTCCCCAGAGTTTATAATAGTTCTATGGGGTAAAGTCAATCCATTAGGAGCTTACTTGATCACAGTAGAAGCAGAATCCAGTTATCTTTCAGGTACATCATTTGGATGTTACTTTAGCTAATAAACTTGAAGGACCAGAATGAAATCAAAGAGTACAGTTAGAAAGTTATTGCAGTAATTCAGGCAAGAGCTGATGAGGGCCTCAACCAGAGTAGTAACAATGGGGCCGAAGATGATGAATTAGAGAAAAATGCACAAGGTAACGTAACTGAGTTTCATGACTGATTGCATGGGAGATGATCAAAGTACAAAATGACCTCCTTAAATTGTTTTGCAAATCAGATTATACACTAATATAAATTCTATACTAATTAGGGTGTAAGTTCAGCAACAGTAACCAATGGGAGATTTTATATGCAGGTGCACACATGCACACATACACACACACAGAGTTTTGTTTTCCCTTTTTCTAACATTCTGCAGTTTATCAGTCCAGCCTGGACAGACAGCCCCACACCACAATATCTTTCAGGTAACCAGGTGTTTTTTTTTTTTTTTAAGATTTTATTTATTTATGAGAGAGAGAACACGAGTGGGAGGGGGGTGGAGAGGGACAAGCAGACTCCCCGCTGAGTGGGGAGCCTGAGGCAGGGCTGAATCACAGGACCCTGAGATCATGACCTGAGCTGTAGTCAGACGGTTAACTGACTAAGCCACCCAGGCGCCCTCAGATAACTATATTCTACTCATTTTGTTGATCCACCACCACTAAGGTGTTTCCCTAGTTTTCATGGTCAATATAAAGTCACCACTCTGTCCATGTTCCATCCTGTGGGGAAGAGGGAAAGAGCACGTGGAGGGCAAGCAATATCAACCTTAAGTGTATATCACATATGCTCGCATCCCAAGGGCCAAGATTTAGTCATGTGGCTACACCTAATTACAAGGGAATATGAGAAACATGGGCTCTAGCAGGGCAGTCAAAATTTGGACAGGGATGGGGGCTCTATTCACAAAAGAATTAGAGGATGGACGCTGGGGAACAAGAGCAGCTAATGTCATTAGTCAACCACTCTGGGAACTAAGTACTCATGAGAACTGCCTTTTCACCACAGAAGAAATTTAACCCTTCTCCAGGGCAAACAAGTCGAAGTTCCACCCAGATTCTGAATCTGGCAGTATGTCTAGGATCTCTGGATCTTAAGTAGGAAGCAGGAGAGATGAGGTATTAGGGACGACAATAACTGCCTATGTTTCAGACATAAATTTGACAGCTTTCCTCTACCCTTCACACACATAAGCAGATACATTTTTTTGTGTGTTTCGTTTTGGCATAACAAAATAGAGTCACAAGCATGCCAAATGTGGGTCTACAGTATAGTATAATGAATCACAGGAATAATGCAACTTGCATCAGCTATACAACGGCCTCATGTAGACCAAGTATAATTTTATAAGGAAGTGCAAACAAGAGGAAAAAGGAAACTAAGAATGATGGTAATGCTTGAAAAAGGAAAAGCAATACAAAACTAAAAATGTGTTCATCCATGTGAAGTTGATTTAAGATAGAGCATCAATATATATATTTTCTCTGTCATGTGATAAAGGATTGTAAATGAACGAAAACAGATTAGCCAGCAACTACATATTTTAAAATTTTAAAGCAGACTCAAGGGGTGCCTGAGTGGCTCAGTCGTTAAGCGTCTGCCTTCAGCTCAGGTCATGGTCCCAGGGTCCTGGGATCGAGCTCCGCACTGGGCTCCCTGCTTAGCAGGGAGCCTGCTTCTCCCTCTCCCACTCTCCCTGCTTGTGTTCCCTCTCTCGCTGTCTGTCAAATAAAATATTTTAAAAATAAATAAATAAATAAATAAATAAATAAATAAATAAAGCAGACTCAAATGATACTAAATGAGTCTGATAATTAGAAAGGTTTAATTCTGTGCTAAAGGAAGCCTTTAACATGAAATATTATTGTACTTATGTTGGGCAAAATGAAAACATTTTACTGGGTTACACTAACTCTCCTCAGTTTGCCTTAACCCTATTATCATTAGTTATATATATTTTAATTTTAAAACACTGAATTTTTAATCATAAATTATCTCTGAGGAAAAAAGATTAAAATATATTTTTGAAAATGAAAATCAATATACGTTAAGTGCCTTGATAGTCAGCTTTCCACACATAATTGAAAGATCTGAATTTCTTTTTTATTATTATCCCAGCAAATGTTACACTAGAGAAAATGATTGGGAAAATACAAATAGAGTCATTAAAAACACAGGCTGATTATTCATATCTACTACATTCAGAAGTATGCAAAACAATTTAGTTATATTGCAAAGCTGTAATTCCTTTTCCTAACAAAGCATTATTTTATAAAACTGTAGTGTTGTATTGATTCAATTTTAATACAAAATACTTATATATACAATACAATATAAAAGTAAACTGTGGGACAGTGCCTTCCACAAAGGGATATATTAAGGCGCTTTACAAATATACTAATATATTGACCCAAATTATTTTTTGCTTTAGATTAAAACAAACAGGCTAAATAAATGTTTCACTTTAAATACCAAAGGGATTTTGTTTATTTTCGTTTATTAAAGAAAAATTTCTAAAGTACCTTAGGTAACAGCAGCAGCAATATCTAAAACTCCTCCCACTGTATTCTCTAATTTCTAACATATTATTAAGTCAGAATAAAACATTTTCACTCACAGTTTTGCACTTTGCAACAGCAGAAGGTAATAACTTTTTAAAAAAGTCAATCTCAAAGTGACTTCTTAGTCATACATTCTATAGTTCCTATTACAAATAAGGTAGAAAAGATACAGCAATAGGGCCTGCCTTAGAGTGTCACTGGACAATACATAATAGTATCTACAATTACATAATTATAGAACACATTTTATAAATACTATTGATATACATAAAAAGGGTAAGTATAAGAAAGACAGCAAGTTTTTTAATAAGTGGAAAATTATTTGAAAAAGAAAACACGTATAACCAATGTTTTCACTCTATTTCAACTGAAAGCATATAGGTTTTTTCATGTTGTTCTCATCTTTTTGGTCAGGAAGCACCAGATTCTGTGCTCTAAAAACTGGATATGTCTGGGAATAAGACAGCTAATAAGTATATCCAAACTGTTAAAACTGCAAATATCAAACTGCTTTACATAGACAGCAAAAGCTTATGTTGTCAGAGGAAATTTTAAAAGAACACAAAATTTGTAGTGTCAACACAGATTTTGTGGGGAGGGTGGGGGAAGAGAAAGCACCTTAGTTTTCCTACAACATAAATGTAACAAAGTTGGTTTTGTACTGCATTGCACCACAATCCAGAAGTAAAACAACCAAATGGAAATTTCACTAAATCTGACTGAGAAAACCCAAAGAGCCACAGGGATATCTTAAAATTTGAGTACTGAGCTAAAAATTCTTGAACTACTTTGTTTGGCATAGGATTTTACAGCACTAATCAAATGTTCCATGAAGTGAAGGCTGCCAACTCATTATGGTGCCTTTTCTTACAACTCTCTGATTAGCAGTCCTTCAGAAATATTTCCGTTATCAAGCCTGTAACATGCCAAACATCTATTTCAATGCCCTCAAGAGTATGTTTAGAATGTCTTAGTGCTGTACCAGCAAGAGAGAGGCATTCCTAGGGATATCTTAATACATGGTACAGACTTTTCCCATCACAAATTATCAGTGTTTATACAAGATGTGCGAATCTGAGTACTAATCAGTAAATTTAAAGCAAAGTTCTTAGTTTAATATATCAGTGTTCTTACAGGACAGAGGTCCTTAACCAAGTTTGTGAGTTTTCAACATGTCCAGAATTCCTAAGACTGCATGCGGCATTATATATGTGTGTGTTGATGTGTATTTTTCTGGGAAAAGAGTCCCCACCTTTCATCAGATTCTCAAAAAACCCAAAGAACCCCAAAGACCCGTGGTTTACAAGCTGAGCTCTGAGAGGGACACCTAGAGAAAGCTGGGAAGTGTAAGCTAATAAGTCTTTGTTGCCCGTCCCAGTTCAACCAGAACAGCTTTGCCTTTAATTTTACTTACACATGTGACTTCCACTAGCTTTTTTCTATTAGTTTGATAATCACTAAAATTATGCCTCTTCTTATCCAGACATATAAAATTTTGATAAAACAATTCCCCACCAGTGGAGTTTAAAGAAAAGGAAGTAAAATACAAATTTTACTTATGTCAGAAAAGAGCCCTTTTCCCCTTCCTAAAAGAGAAGCTAAATGTATTTTGGTATGAAACCACAAGTGTTTTTAAAACCTAAACATTATATATAATAGGCATGCTGAAAAACATATTATTTAACCTTAAATTAAGTTAGGAGGATTTGAATTTTCTACTAAGACCACTATGTAACTTTTTCTAATTACTAATGGCCACCTTAATTAAGAATTAAATAATAATTAATTTTTTCACCAGTTAACCTGTCTATAGGTAAAATATGGCCAAATAGCCAGATTTCCTTTGCCATAACAATCCATGTATACAGCACTGTTCTGAAAGAGGAAACGTGTAACATTACTGATGACATAACCAAAACTGTCACTACAAAGAAAAAGTAATTTTCTAGTGAGTACCCACAAATACATTTTCTAATTAAAGTTTCATATGAAACTGAAAATAATCTCTCTGCTTAGGATGGTAGAAACTTTAAAAAAATTTAGAAGTAAAAATATGGAAGAAGGTTAGCATTCAGTACTGTGAATTTTGACTTATGGCAACTTTGTTCCCTTTTAAAAACTAGAAGCAGCATTAAAAAATACCGGTATAGAAGGAAAAATAGTAGTGCTTTGCTTCTTTTAAAGCCAGTAATTCATGAGAAATAAATGCTAGAAGATTAAATATTCCACAGAGGGGGAAAAAAAACCCCCCAGATAATCTGCATTATTTTTTCTTCTGATGAACATACTATTTCAACCCTGTATTTCTCAGTTCCAAATGTAAATTATCAGATTATCATTAGCCTAGGAACACTCATCACCATCATGGCTTTATTTCTATAGCTTATTTGCACCAAAAACAAGGTTATGGGGTTTAAAAAAAAAAAAAAAAAGAGCTCTTTGAATGTGGGGTACATTTCATATTTGGTTAAAGCAAGATAAAACTAAACCTGTCTTTCAAAAAAGTTTCAAACACTCTTGTCTTTTAAAATTATTTAGTGTATGTACAAATAGATACCAGGCTTCTCCTTTTAAACAAAGCACTATTTTTTTAAGTACTTTAAGTACCAAGAACTGACTATAATATTCAGTTCATAATTTACTTTATAACAATTTTTTCTAAATTACTGATTAAAAAGGCTGGAATAAATTAACATTTTAAAAAAATTTTCCATAATTTAGGAACATAAAATATTGTACACAGAGCACTCATACATAGCTCTGTCACATTTGCATAATTTTACTCTTAGAGCCTCAAAAAACTCTGCGTTTCAGGTCTTTTTGCAAATCCTCATTACAATAATTTCCTAGTGTGTTAAACATATACTAGATCAGGATTTTTGATCTCTGAGCCTGTGTGATGATCATCTTCATCTGACTGTTGCTCTGAGCCTTGTGAATTAATATATTCATATTCAATAGGCTTTGGATAATTATATGGGTAGCCATTGTCATCAAAAAACCTCCGAAAGGTAAATTCATAGAAAGCATGTTCAGGGTGCTTTCCATTTTTATACCATCCGTTGAGAGTGTCGTTTACATTTTCTTCCTCATTATCATCACTCCATAACTTATCAGGATCAACAGGATCAAAATTTGATGTATCTGTTGGGTGTGTGATTTTAGGAATATATGAAGCCGACTGCTGTCTCAGGTCACTGGAGAAATCAATTGTTTTAAAAAATGGATGAGCTTTTATTTCATCAGCCCCATTCTTGCCTAAGCGATCTTCTGGTCCTCGGCAAAGTTTAATAATAAGATCAGACGCTTCAGGACTCAGCTTAGCTTGAGGTGGAATGTGAAGAGATGTCTGCCAGTTGATAACCTTCAAAGAGGATTTTTAGAAATTAGGAGGGAAGAGATAAATAAGAAAAACAAAAATTTCCTCCAGGTTTTATACCAAAAAGTTTTACCAGACTATTCGCATCTTTAAAAAGAAATCACATGGTATTTTGCCTTCCTTACCTTTAATAATAAATGAATCAGTGGTGGGAAATAACCTTTCCTTCCATTCCCTCCACTCCAGGCAACTTATACTCACATTACAAGACTCATCATTTTAAGTTTTAGCTCCCCTGTTAAGCTCTTCTACCTATGGCAAAAACGACTTTTTCTACTGTGCCTCCCATTCTATGTATTTACTATTACCATAGTATCTTTAATACTTTGTGACACCTATTTATGTCTGTGTCCTTCTACCACAGAAAAAATTCCATAAGGCTATACACCATGTTTTGTCTTTGTATTTCTCAGTGTCTGGCAAGTTGCCTGGCACATAATGAATAGATGTTCAATAAGTATTTATTCTGCGGGTGCCTGGGTGGCTCAGATGGTTAAGCATCTGCCTTTGGCTCCCAGGTCATGATCCCAGGATCGGGCCCATTAGGCTCCCTGCTCAGCGTGGGGCCTGCTTCTCCCTCTCCCTGTCCCCCTGCTTGTGCTCTCTTTGCCTCTCTCTCAAATGAATAAATAAAATCTTTAAAAAAAAGAGAAATATTTATTCTGGCTTTGAATAAAACAGAATGAGGGAGAGAGGGAAGGAGGAAGGAAAGAAGGAAGGAAAGAAAGAGAGGGAGGGAGGAAGGGAAGGAAGGTAGTAGGTAATGAAGAAATATTTGTTACTACTGAGTTTTGAAAGTTCTTTTTATAGTCTAGATACAGCCCTTTCTGGGAAATGTGATCTGCAAATATCTTCTCCCAAGCTGTAGCCTGTCTTCATTGTTTTGACTGTGTTTTGTTTAGTTTTTAAAGACTTTATTTATTTGAGAAAGGGTGTGCATGACCGTGCACGTGCATGCTGCGGGGGATGGAGGGGGCCTGCGGGGCAGGGGGGAAGAGCAGAGGGAGAGGGCGGGGGAAAGAATTTCCATCAGACTCCTAGCTGAGCGTGGAGCCCAACACAGAGCTCAATCTCATGATCCTGAGGATCATGACCTGAGCTGAAACCAAGTCAGACGCTCAACTGACTGAGCCACCCAGGTGCCCCTTGACTGTGTCTTCTGTATACTGAAAGTTTTAAGTTTTGATAAATTCCAATTTCTCAACTTTTTCTTTTATGGATCATGATTTTGGTGTCATTTCTAAGTATTCTTCATCTAACCCTAGGCCATAAAGATTTTTGCCTATGTTTTCTTCTAAAAGTATTATTGCTTTATGTTTTATCTCTAGATCGATGATCCATTTTGAGTTAATCTTTGTGTAAGGATGAAGTTTACATTGAGTTTCAGTACTTCTGTATATGGCTGACCAATTTTTCCTATATCATTTGTTGAAATACTATTCTTTCTCCAGTTGCACCTTGTCAAAGATCAAATGGTCATATTTGAGTGGTTCTATTTCTCCATTCTCTATCCTGTTCCTGACACTTGATTTATGTTTGTGTCCTTTTGCCAGTATCACCCTGTCTGGATTACTGTAAGTCTCAAAATCAAGTTGATTCCTCTTTCTTTTTATTTTATATTTAAATAAATAAATAAATATTAAGTAATATTTAAATAATAAATATTTATTTTTAAGTAGGCTCCATGCCCAGCGTGGAGCCCAATGTGGGGCTTGAACTCACAACCCTGAGATCGAGACCTGAGCTGAGATCAAGAGTCAGACGCTTAACTGAGTCACCTGGCAGCCCCTTTGTTCTTCTTCTTTTTTTTTTTTTTAAGATTTTTTATTTATTTGACAGAGAGAGAGAGCACAAGCAGGCGGAGTAGCAGGCAGAGGGAGAGGGAGAAGCAGGCTCCCTGCCGAGCAAGGAGCCCGACGCAGGGCTCAATCCCAGGACCCCGGGACCATGACCTGAGCCGAAGGCAGTTGCCTAACCAACTGAGCCATCCAGGCGCTCTGTTCTTTTAAAAAATTGTTTTCATTATTCCAATTCCTTTGTCCATCCATATACATTTTAGAATTGGCTCATCTATGTCTACAAAAATTAGAACAGAATTGGGCGCCTGGGTGGCTCAGTTGGTTAAGCGACTGCCTTCGGCTCAGGTCATGATCCTGGAGTCCCTGGATCGAGTCCCGCATCAGGCTCCCTGCTCGGCAAGGAGTCTGCTTCTCCCTCTGACCCTCCCCACTCTCATGTGCTCTCTCTCATTCTCTCTTTCTCAAATAAATAAATAAAAAATCTTTAAAAAAAAAATTAGAACAGAATTAAATCTACAGATGTTTTTGGAGATAAGTGATAGCTTTACTATGTTGAGTCTTTCAATCTATCAACATGGCATGTGTCTGTATTTATTAAGATCTTTCTTGATTTCTTTCATTAGAGTTTGTAGCTTTTAGCATACAGATCTTGTTCATGTTTTATTAAATTTATACCTATATATTTCAATTTGGGGAAGCTTCTATAAATGGTACTGCTTTTAAATTTCAGTTTCTGGTCATTTATTGCTTGAATACAGAAATACAATAGATTTGTATGTATTACCCTTATATCCTAGGACCTTGCTAAACTCACTTAGTAGTTCTATGGGTTTTTTCATAAATTCCCTGGGATTTTCTTTTTCTTTCTTTTTTTTTTTTTTTAAGGTTTTATTTATTTATTTGACAGAGAGAGCACAAGCCCCAAGGATATCTGTTCTTACCAGTCTTATTAAGCATAGTTCTGGAAGTCTTAGCCAGTATATAATATAGCAACAAAAGAAATAAAAGGCATACAGATTATAAAGAAAGAAAAACTTCCCCTATTCAGAGATCATGACATAATTTTCTATATAGAAAATCCCAGGGAGGGGGAGCCTGGGTGGCTCAGTCAGTTAAGTGTCCACCTTAGGCTCAGGTCATGATCCCAGGGTCCTGGGACTGAGCTCTGCATAGGACTCCCTGCTCTGCAAGGAGCCTGCTTCTTCCTCTCTTTGCTGCTCCCCCTGCTTGTGCTTGCTCTCTCTCTCTAATAAATGGGTAAAATCTTAAAACAAAAAACAAAAAAACCCCCAAATATCCTTGCCTTGTTCTTTTATTTTTTTAAAGATTTTATTTATTTTAGAGAGAGAGAGAGAGAGAGAGCAGGAGTGGGAGGGGCTGAGGGGAGGGAGAGAGAATCTCAAGCAGACTCCATGCTGAGGGTGGAGCCTGACGTGGGGCTTGATCCCAGGATCCCAAGGATGACCTGAGCTGAAACCAAGAATCAGATGCTTAACCAACTGTGCCATCCAGGTGCCCCATCCTTGTTCTTGATTTTAAGGAGAAAGCATTCAATTTTTCACACAGACACACAAACACACACACACATTTTTATATACATATATATATATAATTTTCATATATACATATATTACAATGAAAGTGAAATAAAGACACTTTCAGACAAAATAATCTGAACTAAACCTGAGGGAATGCATTACCAAAAGACCTATACAAAAGAAATCTAGGGGTGCCTGGTGGCTCAACTGGTTAGGCAACCGACTCTTGATTTTGGCTCAGGTCATGACCTCGGGGTCCTGGGACTGAGCTCCGTGTTATGCTCCAGGCTCAGTGCAGAGTCTGCTTGGGATTCTCTCTTCCCCTCTCCCATTGCCCCTACCCCCGCTCGCGTGCACACGCTCTGTCTCTCTCTCAAAAATAAATAAATAGGGGTGTCTGGGTATCTCAGTTGGTTAGGCATCTGCCTTCGGCTCAGGTCACGATCCCAGGGTCCTGGGATCGAGCCCCACATCGGGATTCCCTGCTCAGTGGGGAGTCTGCTTCTCCCTCTCCCTCTTCCCCTCCCCCAGCTCATGCTCTCTCTCTCTCTGAAATAATAAAATCTTTTTTTTTTTAAGATTTTATTTATTTGACAGAAAGAGACAACGAGAGAGGGAACACAAGCAGGGGGAGTAGGTGAGGGAGAAGCAGGCTTCCCACCTAGCAGAGAGCCCAATGTGGGACTCGATCCCAGGACCCTGGGATCATGACCTGAGCTGAAGGCAGACGCTTAACAACTGAGTCACCCAGGCGCCCCTGAAATAAATAAAATCTTAAAAAAAAGAAAGAAAAAATATAAAGGAAGTTATTTTTATCTTATTTATTTTTAAGTAGGCTCCACACCCAACACAAGACCAACATGGGCTCAAACCCACAAGCCTGAAATCGAGACCTGAGCTGATATCAAGAGTTGGACACTTAACCAACTGAGGCATTCAGGCGGCCCAGAAGTTTTAAATATAGTATATTAAATGCAATAAAGAAGTGGTTACAACTTAGGGGGAAGCATCATAGAAGAGATAACTTCAGATACTTAAAGGATGATTAAGAATGAGTTAGTTTAGTAGTTAACCATGTTTAAGAAAGTGGGGAGGGTTGTGGAAGATGGGAAAGAAAGAAGGACATTTCAGACAGAGGAATGGTATGGACAAAGGAAAAGAGGGTAAATTTGTATTTTAATCCATGCACATGGGAACCACTGAAGGGGTTTTAATGGGACTGTTTACGGTCCAAATCAAGGGCAACTTCTCATTTAAGTGCCAGAGGTAATTTCAAGTGGAGATACATATTTTGTTTGTAGTTTGGGGGTAGAATGTGCATGGAAGGTAACAAAGCCAGGAGCCAGAAGGTGACAAAAAATAAATTAGGATAAATCTGCAAATAGTACTAAAGACTTCCATGAGAATGAGTGAGGGGGAATATAATAGTATGACAACAGTAGGATGATGCAGAGTAAAATGCACCTGTGGAATTTTAGTGGCTTCCTATAACCTTACAAGTTCATTTTTTTTTTTTATATATAACTCTATCCCCAATGGGGGCTCGAACTTACGAACTCATGACCCCAAGATCAAGAGTCACATGTTCTATCAACTGAGCCAGCCAGCAACCCCCTTACAAGTTCATTCTTAAATTCCAAATTAAGATGCTCTAAGTAAAGGACTGCTAAAAGTCTGTGATATAAGGACTTTGTGAAATTCTTTGGTATAGATTCTAGCTTACCTTCATTTGTGTTTCTAATGGTGTTTGTGCCAAGAAAGGCGGCTGTCCCACCAGCATTTCAAAAAGAATTACACCAACACTCCACCAATCACATAACTGTGTATAGCCTAAAATAAGATACCAAAGTTATAGTATACAAAGTTATAGTTTCTACAGCTTATGCTGTAGAAATTAGTATTTTTACTATAAACCTGAAAAATAAGCCACATGCTAATTTAAGTTTCAGATGGTTTAAAGGACTATTGAGATATTATGAAACTAATGTTTTACCTGTTCGTAACAACACTTCAGGTGCAATGTAATTGGGAGTCCCAACCAATGAGTGTGCAAGACATCGCTGGTGCTGGCGTGCAGCTCTCCGCTCTAGTGGCTTCAATCTGTCTCCACATCGACAGTTAGAGGGGTCACCCCACTCATTACTGAAATCCATACTGTCTTGCCGTGGATGGTCACCTGTGTAGGAAATAGGTAAGTAAATAAAAGCATCAAGAACAAGAGCGTACCTAAAGCCTGTTTCATCTTTTAGCACCACGGTTTAGAGTTAACAAACTTTTCTTTTGACAAACAATGTGTGCCTATCATTGATGGTATTTATTACTGACTAGAGCCTGTGCTCTGAGATATCAATAGGACAGGTTTTAGTGTAAGATTCAGTAATTCACTCAATGTTAAATGATGATAATCAAAGTCATGAGTAGGCAGGACCAGGAATCTGTTATTCAGATTGCTCCCCATTACTAATCTGAACGAAGTTTCAAACAAATTACATCAGTGTTTCATTCACTCAACAAATGATAAGGATAAATAAGAAAGACAAGGTTCTTCTCTCAGGTAGCTTCTCTGTATGGGACAAACACAACCAGTACATATGTAATCCATATGCATCCCATTCGGAGAATCAACATAGGGTGATATGACAACTATACCAGGGTGGCTCAGGAAGACTGAGGTGACATTTGTAAAAAAACAAGAAAGACTCAACCATTTGAAAACCAGGGCAAGGCATTCTACACAGAAACAGTAACAGAGCAAAGACCAGTGCAGTTAGTAAAGGAGAGAATGGTAGACAACAGAGTGGGAGCCAGTGTACATGGGTTTTATAAGCAAAAGAAATGATTTGCCTTTTACTCCAAATACAGTGGGAAGACAGCGGAGTTTGATGGAAGAAAATGACAAGATCTGATTTATGTTTAAAAAAGAAAACACTAGCTGCTGTGTAAAGACTAGTTTATAGGGAGGACAAATGTGAAGAGAGACCAGTTCAGAGGCTATTGCAGTTAAACTTGGACTATGACTGGGGCGCCTGGGTGGCTCAGTCGTTAAGCATCTGCCTTCAGCTCAGGTCATGATCTCAGGGTCCTGGGATGGAGCCCCACATCGGGCTCTCTGCTCAACGGGAAGCCTACTTCCCTCTCTAGCTGTTTCTCTGTCAAATAAATAAATAAATAAAATCTTAAAAAAAAAACAACTTGGACTATGATGGTAACAGCTGAGACAGAGAAAAGTGAACAGATCCAGGGTATTTTTAGAGGTGGAATAAGCAGGATTTATTGATGGACTGGATGTAGAGGGTGTGGAAGAAAAAGAATCAAGGATAACTAAGTGGGTGGTAGTAGTGCAATTTACTAAAATGGGGAAGACTGGAGGGGGAGAAATTAAGAGTTGTTTATTGGTAACGTTAAGTTTCAAAGGCCCATTAGAAACACACATGCGGTGCCTGGGTGGCTCAGTCAGTTGAGCCTCTGACTCTTGGTTTCGGCTTACATCATGATCTCAGGGTCCTGGGATCGAGACCCGCATTGGGCTCCATGCTTAGCACGGGGTCTGCTGGAGTTTCTCTCCCTGTGCCCCTCCCCCTGCTTGTGCACTCTCTCTCTAAAATAAATAAATAAATCTTAAAAACACACCACACACACACACACACACACACACACACACACGAAAGGGAAGAGGCCATTTCTAAAGAGAAATTTGGAAGTCGCTGATATGAGATGGCATTTAAAGCCATGACTGGCAGCACCTGGGTGGCTCAGTCGGTTAGAAGTCTGCCTTCAGCTTGGGTCATGGTCCCAGGGTCCTGGGATCCAGCCCCGCATCAGGTTCTCTGCTCAGCAGGGAACCTGCTTCTCCCTCTCCCTCTGTCTGCTGCTCCCCCTTCTTGTGCTCTGTGTCAAATAAATAAATAAAATCTTAAAAAAAAAAAAAGCCATGACTAGATGAAATCATCTAGAAAAATACATCTGAAATTAACCTGACTGTAATAATCACTGGGGATGTTTGACTAAAATACAGTTTTTTGGGGCGCTTGGCTGGCTCAGTTTGTAGAGCATACAACTCTTAAACTCACGGTTATGAGTTCAAGCCCCACGTGAGGTGTAGAACCTACTTAAAAAAATAAAAAGCAGGGCGCCTGGGTGGCTCAGTTGTTAAGCGTCTGCCTTCGGCTCAGGTCATGATCCCAGGGTCCTGGGATCGAGTCCCACATTGGGCTCCCTGCTTGGCGGGAAGCCTGCTTCTCCCTCTCCCACTCCCCCTGCTTATGTTCCTGCTCTCGCTATCTCTCTCTCTGTCAAATAAATAAATAAAATCTTTTAAAAAAATAAAAAATAAAAAGCAAACTTAAAAAAAAAATACAATTTCTCCCCTCCAGTGAATATTTTCAATCAGAAGACTGGAATAGAGCCTAAGAATCACATTTTTAAGAAGAACCCCGAGTAATTCAGGTGAATCTGGGGAGACAGGTTCAGGTGTCTCAGTTCTATCCATTTAATGTTCAATTTACTGTGTTCACTTAAGCACAGAAGGCTAATAAGACTTACCTCAGAAGATTGCTTTGACCCTTAAGTTAGAATATATACAAAGAACCTAGTCATAATAAGTATTCAAGAATTGTTAGATCGACTTACACTTCCATTAGGCGCTTTGAAGGGATCTTGGTGAGGCAGTGTGGTGTAGTAGAAATAACACGGGCCCTGTAATCAGACAAACCTGGGCTCAAACCCTAGCCCTTATACTTCTTTTCTGTCTGACTTGGGCAAGTTATTTCATCTAAATAAGCCTCAGTTTCTTTATCCTGTCTCACAGTGATATTGTGTACATAAAGTGTTTACATTTATTTATTTATTTTAAAGATTTTATTTATTTATTTGACAGAGAGAGATAGCGAGAGCAGGAACACAGCAGGGGGAGTGGGAGAGGGAGAAGCAGGCTTCCCGCCGAGCAGGGAGCCCGATGCGGGGCTCGATCCCAAGACCCTGGGATCATGACCTGAGCCGAAGGCAGACGCTTAACGACTGAGCCACCCAGGCGCCCCAGGTGTTTACATTTAAATAAGTTGTAGTCATACAATGGAATCCTAAATAGTAGTGAAAACAGATGTCATATGCAGTAACACAGATCAACCTCAAACACATAAAAGAAGTGAACACAGAAGAATACATACAGAATAGTTACACGTAAATAAAGGTGCAAGAGTAGACAAAATGAAAAAAACATTGTTCAGGGTTACAGACATTATGTAGAAAAAGTATAGAGAGAAGTAAAGAACTGATTACAGAGTTCTGAAATAATAGTTACCTCTACGGAGGAGAAAAGGGGAAGCGGTCGTTTAGGGGCTTCAAAAGTACTGATAACTGGTTCTTTTTTTTTTTTTTTAAGATTATTTATTTATTTATTAGAGAGCTTGTGCATGAGCAGGGGGGGAGGGGCAGAGGGAGAGGGAGAAGCAGACTCCCCGCCAAGCAGGGAGCCCGATGCGGGACTCGATCCAGAGACTCCAGGATCATGACCTGAGCCCAAGGCAGTTGCTCAACCAACTGAGCCACCCAGGCGCCCCCTGATAACTGGTTCTTAAGTTGAATGGCAGGTATGGGGTTTCATTTCAAGATTTTTTAAAATGTTATTTGTCTGACATATTTCAAATTAACAAAATTTAAAGAGATTAACTCAAGAATATTAATGATATTTAGAAATAATTGAATCTAACATATTCTTTCATTTTATAAGACTAGGTGTCTAAAGGATTCACTCACATTTATCCAATAGTCAAAACCTGAAACCAGGACTTCTGGCTTTCACCCAGTGATAATACCATCTTATATCTTATTGCATTAATACATCATATTAATATGTACACATTTTATGATTTTACTCACCACTCTGATAGTACTTAGAATCATGTGTCCATCTGAAGCCAGTGCAGAGGCCGAAGTCAGTCAGTTTAATATGACCATCACGATCAATCAAAATATTATCAGGTTTAATATCTCTATGTATAAAACCCATTTTATGAACACTTTCGACTGCACAGGTAAGTTCTGCTATGTAGAATCGTGCCAGGTTTTCTGGAAAGATGCCCATCCTAATTAATAGGCTCATCATATCACCCCCAGGAATATAGTCCATTACAAAGTATAAATTGTCCTTATCTTGGAATGAGTAATATAGACGAACTACCCATTCATTGTCAGCTTCGGCTAGGATATCCCTCTCAGCTTTAACATGAGCAACTTGATTTCGAAGAAGAACATCTTTCTTTCGAAGAGTTTTTGTTGCATACAAAGCCTTAGTATCTACTTTTCTTGCTAGACAGACTTCACCAAATGCTCCTATTCCTAGTGTCTTTATCTTCACAAACATAGACTTGTCCATTTTGGCCCTCTTAAGACGGATGTAATTAGACTCTTTTTGGCAAAGCATCCTTCTCATTTGATCCTGCGCATCTTGAGATAATCCAACCTAGGCAAATAAACTAAAGGTTAAATGAGGAATTATCTTCTATACCAAATATTTAAAAATAGTTTGGAAAAAATTCAGGCATATAAAGGTTAAATGCATAATAATTTTTAATAAAGCATGTTAGAAATCTAGAAAATACTTCAGAGAAAATTAATTATCAAAAGTGCAGCTTAAGGGATAGTTAACAGGATATACAAAGGTGAGTATATATGCAGATTCTGCTGTGGAGAGCAAGAAGACGATACCAACAGTCAGCCTTCAACTGCTTTCTAATGCACCCCCAAAAAAGTTCCCAATGTGCAATAACCAAACATCTGTTAACATGCATCCTCATCTATCTCTCCATGCATATTCATCCCAAATTATGTGATTAGATTGCCTTCATTATATGCTTCTCTTGTGGAATGCCTAGGATTAAAATATTCTATTTTACCTTTCATGAAAAAAACCTCTTCCCATCCAGATCATTTACTCTAAAAAACTGATGTATTAAGAACAAAAGAACGCCTTCTCTAACCAAACCACTCATTAATAGTCCATCTTTCCTTTCATCTTTCTTTTATTTTTCTCAGGCATTAGAGTAAGGGTAGGACTCACAGCCACCACTAATGCAAAATGCAAAGGCTTTGTCCTACCTTATTTAAAAGGGACAACTTGTTTGATTATAAGGTATCTTTTAGACATTTTGGAACATTTCAAAGGATAGTCATGGTGACTTATGAAGATACCAAAACACAGATTAAAAACAAAAGCCAACTTCTGAGTAGACATGGACTACCTGGATTTAGAAGGAAGTTTATTTTTGGCTAGTTCAATAAAGAACTAATTTAAGGGTTTAAACAGAAAAGGAATTAAAGAAGTAGAGTCTAATTCTAGAAATGCAAGCCTAATTAGAATATAGCAACCTCATGCTTCTGTTAGGATGCGCATTTCCATGCAAAATCTTTAAAGAAGGGTGGCATGCCAGACTTAGAACTGTTTCTCTTAAAATCTTACTTGCCTACACAGTAATGGAGGCTACAGAAGTCAGCAAAGCTTCCAACACCATAAAAGTTTAAATCAGCTATTAGTGAAAGTGAAGAGGAAAAAGGAAAAATAAACTAAGAAAATACATACAGATAGACTTTAGTAAGAAATCCTAAGAACTAAAATATGGATAAGTCCTACAGATTATCATGGTATTTCTCATCTAAGAAAGTTCAATTAATAGCAGGAATGACATAACTGTGAAATCAGATTTAGAAAAATTATCTTAAAAGACTGGCTCTCAAGTTATGTGAGAAAGTTTTATCACAAATTTAAGCCTCCTGGATTCTGAGTGATAGATATAAGATTGGGAGTCAACCTCTGAACTGTAAACATGTGACAAAAATATCAACAATGATGGTACCACCATAACAACTAGTGAAGATATATATATGGAATCATAACAGAGATTTATCTAAAATGAGTGAGCACTAATTCTGGTCTCCTTTTTAGTAGTTTAAAAATTTCAGCACATTTTCCAGTACATTATAAAAATAAAATTAGAAGATGAAATAACAGAAGGAACAGGTCTTTGACACTTTCTAATGAGACCAACCAAATGAATAAGCCTGATAAATAAAGCCCAAAAACTACTATAAGTAAAAACAAATGTTTCAAAAGTATATAAAGAGATGGGACCCAGATATTTCTAGCTTATTTTAAAATGTTGTAAGATAATGTGTAAAACCTAGAAAATAACCTTTGCTCCTATTTCCATATAAAGGGATTATGAAACTAAACAGCACACTATAAATTATATTTTTCTTAATTTATTAGAACTTCATTCCAGGAAATTCTGAGTAAATCTTGAAATACTAAAACAAAATGGCATAATCAAAAGTACTTTAATTTACTGACTTTTAAATAACTGATAATATATTTAGGTATAAAAAGAAAGAAAAATACTGGACCAATATTTTAAAATAAACAGTAAGCAAATAGATGATCAAGCATGAAATGGGCATTTTAAAAGGTTTTACCCGCATCATTTCATTCTCTAATTGTTTTTTACGATGTAGACGCTGCTGATGAGATTTGAGTACATTTTCTACATGTTGCTCCATAAAGAATTTAAATGCCTGAGGAGAGTAACTTTGAATACGAGATTCCCTTCGCTCTTCATCTTTCTTGTTTTTCCTAACGGTGATAGGTGAGGTTGTAATCTGTTTCTTTTCTTTATCCCCACTATCAATATTTTCATAACTTTTTTCACTCTCATCTTCCTTGGGCACGCTCGCCTGATCCTCTTTGCTAGATTTACTGATTGATTCGTATGGAGGAACAGATGGGTTTTGGTGTAGCAGATGCTTGGGATAAGGTGGAGGTGGACCTTGATAGGTTGGAGCTTCAGCAACAGGAGGCATAACGGTCATATTTGAAGTGGTGCCCTCAGAAAAAGGACTAGGTTGAACCGTTTGAATTGGCTGTGGTATCCAAGAAGGGTGTGTAGGGGCTAATGCAGTCTGTAGCTCTGGTTTTAATACACGTATACTTTTCACAGGCTGTTGAATAGGAGCTGGTGTAATAGCAGTGACTGTTGTAGCTGAAGGCTGAGAATTAGCAGGATGACTTGTTCTATTTCCTAATGGATTATTAAAGGAATTGGACCTCACTGGTATGTTAGGCTGCCATGTGGGGATTTCATGCCCACTGCTTGGGGACGACTGGGCTGGAGCAGAAGATGACTGAGGCCAAGTTGTCTGCAGTCCAGGTGCATTCATGTTATAAAGTTCCATGTTATGACTGTTTCTGTTTGGCACCATCATAGATTGGGGAAGATTTCCATTTGTATATGATGAAGGAGCAGCAGATGCCCCCGTTTGTAGAGCAGAAGAGCTCTGTCCATTAGCTGGGGCCAGAGGATATGGAGGCGGTGGCTGCCGATTCACAGTGCCAGCAGGGACATTTTGGTGTATTATAAAATCAGTCTGTCCACTACCATTCTGAATTCCAGGTCTTCCTGGTGGAAAGTTAAATTTGTTGGAACTCTGCATGATGATTGGTTGTCTGCCAACAGGAACAGAACTAATGCCTCTCTGACCCTGATTAGGAGGATTCATTGCGGATGTGTTCAGAGGTGGTGGAGGATAGCCCTCCTGCCAGGCTCCAGGTGGAACAGGAGAGATTCTGGAGATTACATATTCCATGTTCCCGGAATAGCGCTTTGTTTGAGAGTTTGGTTCCCATGAGGGGGGAGGTGGAGTTGTACCTCTTGGAGGAGGAGTCTGGCCTCTGGGAGGTGGTGGAGGAGTGACACTCCTTACTTGAGGAGGTGGTGGGGGGTTCACTCTCTGTCCATTGCTAGGGTGAGCTTGAGCAAAAGCCGTTATACCAGAGCCTGACAAAGGTCTTCCTACATCTGTCTGCGAGTTAGGACTTTCAGAACGATAGGCTACACTTTCTCCTAGTGGTGGGCCATGTCTCTGAGGAACTAAGGATTCTTTGGAACCTTTCCAGCTTTGTTTGCGGTTAACTGATTGTTGCACACTCCCTATGGTCATAAAACAGAGAAAAAAAAACACGTTTTTAACCTCTTATTTTTGAAAAATTTAGCTTGGAATTCTGACATAGCTAAATGGTAATTCTCTTTTGAGAATTATAAAAATCAAATTTCAGTTAAGTGGTTTTATGTTACCTTTCAAATTTTTACTTGACTAGGTAATACATTCTCATAGCTCAGAATTCAAGAAGTACAAAAGTATACCCACCTCTGTCCTTTAGCCAACCAACTTCCTTCCTTGAAGGTAATCAGTGTCATCAGTAAGATATATTGGGGATATGCAAGTAAATACACTACCTCCTATGTATACTACTGTGCCTGGCTCTTCTCATTAAAATATTGAAGATTCTATATCAGTATATAAAGTGTTTGCTTACTTTTAAAAAGTTTACCACAGTTTTCACTGTATGGATGTACCCAAATTTAATTTTTTTTAAAGTAGGCTTCACACCCAGCATGGAGCCCAATGTGGGGCCTGAACTCATGACCCTGAGATCAAGACCTGAGTTGAGATCAAAAGTCAGCTGAGCCACGCAGGTGCCTGGATGTACCCAAATTTAATCAGTTTCCTTACTGAAGAATAGTAAGGTTGTTTCTAGTCTTTTGCTGTACAAAAAAAGAAAAGGCAGTGAAAAATTTTGTACAGATACCATTTTTTTTTTAAAGATTTTATTTATTTATTTGACAGAGAGACAGAGAGAGAGAACAAGTAGGCAGAGAGGCAGGCAGAGGGAGAGGGAGAAGCAGGCTCCCCGCCGAGCAGGGAGCCCGATGCGGGGCTCGATCCCAGGACCCTGGGATCATGACCTGAGCTGAAGGCAGCTGCTTAACCAACTGAGCCACCCAGGCGCCCCCAGATACCATTTTTTAAAATATTTTTTTAAATAAAGATTTTATTTGAGAGAGAGAGCATGCGCAGGGGAAGGGGTAGAGGGAGAGGGAGAAGCAGACTCCCCACTGAGGAGGGAGCATGACATGGGGCTCAATCCCAGGACCCTGAGATTATGAGCTGAGCCGAAGGCAGATGCTTAACCGACTAAGCCACCCAGGCGCCCCCAGATATCATTTCATATATGTTAAGTAGATAAATTGTCAGAAGTGGCATTATTAAGCCAAAGGGTGTGTCCATTAATAATTTTAATAGATACAACAACTACTTTTAAATATATTTCAAAGATACCAGGAGACAATTAGCTGAAATAAGATACAGATTTTATAGTTTCTCTTTACTGGAATTTCCAACTATGAAACAGGCAAGAAAATAAATGATACAAAAAAAAAAAAAAAACTGAAGTATTTAAAGTAGTCTGACTACTTGGAAAAAGATCTTTAACACATTTAAAAATACATAAAATGCATTTATATAAAATGCAATACATATAAATAATACATTCCAGATAGAGAATATACAGTAAAGATAATTTACAGATCTAAATACATAAAACATAAAACACTTAGCAAATTCAAAACAAAACACATATGAGGAAAAATTGGTAAATGTTCAGAATGTACAGCTTAACACTGTGTTTCATTGAGGCTGGGTAGCATTCTGGGCCTATGACTTCAGGAAAAGTCATCACTCCAGGCAACCCAAGCAAGTCTTCTGGCCACCAACCTCAGTTTCACCTTCCTCAGATACTCAGCTGAGGCTAAATACAACAGGTCTTCACTCACTAAGCTTTTACCAGTTAAAATATTAGTCTCCGTGAGCCTAGAGTATACTGCCATCTCTGTTCTGCACCTCTCATAAAGCTCTCCGTGCTCTCCCACTTCCCAAACCCTCCCACTATTGCCCCCCAGACGTGCTTGCTCTGTTCTATAACTAACAAATGCTCCTATATCACCGTCTGCTCCAAGCTTTCCCACCAACTCCTTAAAGCTGGTTATCTTCTGCTGACACTAGTTCCTTTTCAGCCCTTTGCAATTAAGGTTTTCTTTAAAAATAAACTGGGCTAGGGGCACCTGGGTGGCTCAGTTGGTTAAAGGTCCGACTCTTGATTTCAGCTCAGATCGTGATCTCAGGGTTGTGAGATCGAGCACCATGTCGGGCTCTGCACCTGGCATGGAGCCTGCTTGAGATTCTCTCTCTGTCCCCCTGCCCCTCCCCACCTCCCTCTCGCTCTCCAAAAATAAATAATTAATTAAAAAATAAATAAACTGGGCTAAAGGTGGGATTCTACCTCTCATTATTCTTTCATACTCTTTTAAAAAAGCCAGCTCTTTGGATGCTCTTTCTATCTGGGAGGCCACATTCATTCCTCTCAATTAATGAACTCTTATTTGCTTGTCCTCATTCACCCATAGTTTTGACATTCAGTCTACCCTAAGCCCTGCCAACATTCTATAACTTCAACATCCACGTGGACAAACCATCCATCACCCTCACCTCAGTTTCTTGACCTCCTCCCTCAACCTCCAATATCACTCCTAAGATCATATTTCTAATTTTGATATTAACCATATCTGCTTTTTTCAAAATCATTTCTTTAAAGTTTATACACTTGGACTACAACTCTCCTTTCATGTTTAACTACCACTACAAACATTTTTCAACTTCACCAAGACCTTCATATCCCTACTTCACTAGTCCTCCACTTTCTTTATGCGACACTGCGGCTAATTTAATTCCATGGTCCAGTAGTTCTTTCTCCCCTCTGTATTCCTTTTCTCCTCCCCTCACTTCTATTCATTCATTAAATTTTTATTGAGCATCTACACCATCCAAGTACAGTGGTGAACAAATATCCATGGCCCCATGGAACCTCCATTCTTGGGGGAGAAGACTGACAATAAACAAGTAAATAAATAAGGTAACATCTGGGTATGATAAATCCTAGAAGGAACCATAAATGGTGTCAAAATGGTAGAGAGTAAAAGGGAGATAGAAAGGGATGAGATTCAGCAGTCAGAAAAGGCTCCACCAAGGAGATGACATATGATCTAAGACTAGGCAAAGGTCCTGAAGGGGGAGCTTGGTATTTTCCAAGAACAAAAAGAAATTCAGCATGGCTGGAGAGCAGTAAATGAGGGAAAGTGGGGTACTGGAGGAAGTCTGACAGCAGCAAAGCCATCAAGAGGAGTCTGGAAGGAATGAAAAGCCCCTAACAGCAGAGCAGGAATATGCCTTGATTAAGGATTTAAATCACCCTTTCAGCAATATTCTGTCCTCCCTTTATCTATCTTATTTTGTACTTGTTTAGTAGAACTCTAGTCACAGATGATTCCAGCTATCTAACTTTTTTTTCATGCCTGCTAGAAAAGGTGATGTAAAGTGCAGATTGATTCCACCATAAATTCAATGATCAGCATCATCAAATGGCTTTAGCACTGCCAGGAAATCCTGTTTCTTTTGGTCTCCACTACAACTCTCTAGTCCTGGGTCTCCTCAAATTGCCTGTCCCATTCCTCACACACCACTCTCAGCAGATGACCTGATTTTCCACTTTGGAGAAAACTGAAGGCATCAGAAAGGAACTCCCTTATCTTCCCCACATAACCTGGGCCTGTTAGTTCCTGTTAGAGCAAAATGGTTGATTCCTCTTCCTCTATAAGGCTAATAGTCTGTCATCCTATGCTTTGGATCCTTTCTTTTCCTGGCTTCTCAGGAACCTTACTTGATCCTTTTCTCTTGAGTATTTAATTTCTTTATCTTAACTGGAGTTTTGCAATTATCTTTTAAACATGCCTAACTCTTTACTATTAAAACAAACAAACAAGGCTCTCCCTCCATTTTCATCTGGAGCACTACCTCAAAATGTTGCTACTAGTCCACTAGAAGTATGGAAGTGGAGAACAAAAACTTAGAAACCTTTACAGAAATCTAACAGTGAAATTTCATGTCTGTTAAATATAATAATAAACTATTTGTACTTATATATGTCATTTTAAATTTATATTTTGGAATAATTCATCATTATTATATTTTATAAAATTAGGGCCCACCCTAAGTGACCTTATTTAACCTTAGCTGCCTTCTTAAAGACCCTGTCTACAAATATAGTCAAATTTTGAGGTACTAGGAGTTAGGACTTCCTGAATTTGGAGGAGGGAGGACACAGTTCAGCCCATGACACATGGGGTAATTTGTTTCTGTTCAGTCATGGGAGCATAATTCAGAATGGAATGGGTTGAGGAATAAATTGATGTGAGGTAAAGAATTCATGTATAAAAAAAAAGAATTATGTATAAACAACACTTTGAGAAGTTTTTCTATGAGGGTACAGTGAGGACATTAGCAAGTGTATGCTTCTTACACAGTGAAGATCTTTTTATTTTTTAAATTTCCAATTCATTACAGATTAATAATTTTATAAAAAACACTCTTGGCTTTCAAGACACTTTTTTTTTCCCTTCCTCTTCAGCTAATTCTTCTGTCTTTGCAGGCTTATCCTCTCCTGCCAGCTACTAAGTAATAGGCTTGGTTCTAGGCCATCTTGTCATTTTTGTCTACATAATCTCCCTTAATGACCTATTTCATATACAGGGCTAATTGTACATATATCCATCCAGCTCCCTACCTGACATCTTCACTTGGGTAACTCAATGAACCTAACTCAACCTGAGGTAAAAAACCAGACTTACGATCTTTTTCCATCAAATCCTGTTCTCTCTTAGCATTCACTTTTATAGTGTGGGGTATCGCCATACTGAATCTATATTTCTGCACCAGAAGCATAGGAATCATTCCTCTCCATTATCACCCCTTGTATGTAATTTATCACCGGGTCCTTGTCAACTTTACCCTCTCATCTCTCTTAATTCATTCACTTTTCTCCACTGCCCTCTTCCAGTCTAAATAACCCTTGTTTCCTGGGAACTACCGTATCTCTTATCCAGTCTATTCCAATACCCAACCCCCAATCCATTCTTATCCACTGCAGCCATCTTTTTGAAACACAAATCTAATCATATCATTACACTGCCTGAAGTTTCCCTAACTTCCTGCTGCTCTTAGGATAAGATCAACACACAGTCCTGCATAGTCAGGCCCTATGTATTTCTCTAGTCCTATTGCATACTCTTGTTTTCAGTTCTTCCAGTGTAGCATCAAAACCTGCCAAACAGGCCATGCATAGGGACACTGTTCCTCACTAAACATTTCCCATTAACCTTAGTCTTTCTTCAGCTATCAGCTCTACTATCAGTTTCACAGGAAGGTTTTCTCTGATCTCCTTAAGTCAAAAAACCCTTTATGATATGAGTCTACAGTACCGTATAACTCACCCCACTTCATTCACATGTATGTAGCTGTTATCCTATGTGTATTTATTTGTGAGAGGGTTTGATCTCCCTTACCAGAATGTCAGCTCTACAAAATGGCAAGAACTTTATACCCAATGCTGAGCAAAGGGCCTGAAACAGTGGTGAACAATAAAATTTTGCTGAATGAAAAGAATGAATAAATAAGGCCTCTTATAAATCAATAAAAAAGGATGAACACAAAATTAACAAAGAATAAAAATGCCAATTAAAAAATAACCAATAAATAAATAAGTAAATAAAAATAATTGATAACCAAATGTTTAATACCAGTGATCAAAGAAATGTGAATATAAAACAAGACAGTAATTCCACAGCCATTAAATATATAAAAATCATAATACCTAGGATTTATAAATATAGGCATTCTTATATTAAACTGATCAGGAGAATATAAGTTGGGAATACCTTTCTAGACAGCAATATCTAAGAAAAACCTTAAATTTTTGCAAGACTGAAAATTTTCTTCACAAAATCATCAGGAATGTACAAGATTTAGGTACAAAAGGATTTACTGCAATGCTGTCTATAATGGCAAAAAAGAGAAACAAGGCAAATGTCAGAGAGACTGGTTACATAAGCTATGTGATAAGTCTAACAAAATGTAGTTACTAAAATTAATTTGTAGACCATTTAATAACAAGGAAAGTTATGCACAGTATATTAAGTGAATCAAGTAGGTTTTAGTATGACCCCATTTTTTTGCTTAATCAGTAAGAATCAAAATACACATGTAAACCCACTCAGGTTTTCCACAGGAAAGAAGACTGAGAAACAAAACACACCAAAACCTTGTAGGTATTTATAGTGATGTCTTCTTTTTCCTTACTTACTTTCTAAATATTCTGTGATGAACACCTTTCACTCTTATAATAAAACAAGATTATAAAAAGAAAAAAAAGAATAGTTTGAATATGGTATCTGTGGTAAAAAAAGAAATATTTCAGCTTCAGTATAACCAATCAAGTAGTTTTCAACCTCAGCGGCCGCTTATCGAATTACTTATGAAACCTTAAGGGCCCCATCCTCAAATTCATTTTGGTATAACACTATCATGCTATTACCTTGACTAGACTTTCACTTACTGCGATGCTCTTAACAATTTCTAAGACTAAAGAGTTGACGTAGATAAATATTTTAAAACAATACTATAAGAAACAAGAAAAAAATGTCTGATTGATCACCTGGTTTCAAGCTGGCATTGACAGGTCTGGCAGCTGCTGCGGCCATCTGTTCTCGGCGAGGATCTTGGTAACTCATTTTACTAATGAATTCAATTGCTGCCTCTATACTTCTGTTATTAGTTTTCTGAAGAGCTTGTATAACCATATCCTGATATGAAGTTTAAAAAAAAGAAACAAAGCTTAAACTTTATAATTAAGAGAGAAAGAGCACTATGAGCTTCACTAGAGAAATTCATAATTATGAAGCACAGGGCCCCAAACAATAATATTAATGTCCTGTTTGTAAAACTTCTATAAACATCCATATAATCTCAAAGTAAAAAAGAAAACAAACGCTCAAATTCCTCAAATGTTTCTTTAATATTTTCACCTTTATGTAACGTATCACTTTTTTCTTATAGGATTAGCTTCTGGGGACAATCATAACAACAGAACTCTGATTATTTCTCATTCTTTATTTCATCTTTATTTGTTTGTATAAGGAGACTATCAGATTCTTAAAAAGGTATCAATCAAAATACTGGAAACCACTCTTTTGTATCATTAAAACATTTTAGTAAAGCACCTTTGTCACTGGGTTTACTAAAAAAGCTATGTAGTTCTGATTTCTATCAGATTTCTATCTAAAAGAGCTATGTAGTTCTGATTTCTATCCTCTTAGAGCTTACATTTTCAGAGAACCTTATTTACAAGGACATAAATCTAGGACAAATGGTATAAGAAAAACACTTACAGTGTATATGATTATGTGATGATGACTTTAGGAGGCTACATGGTATGATGAAAAAGCAGAGTCTGGAATCAAACAGAAGTGAGTTTGAGTTCCATTACTATGCTTTTGTTTTTTATGCTTAGAAGCAAAAATACACTCCAGTGATTGCAGATTTATTTACTTTAGAACTGTGTGAACTCTGGCAGATTATTTAACATTTTAGAGCTTAATTTCTTCATCTGCAATACACTTACAGAATTGATGTGAGGCCTAAATAAGAAAACATGTAAAAGCACGTAAGTACAGTGCCTGGAGATTAGATGTGGGTTGTCCTCCTGCTCTGCTCCTTGCCCTTTAAGTGTAAACATAAATCATACACTAACATACAGAACGCATACCGATAGGCTTTTTTCAAGAGAGAAGCAGCTATTTACTTGCCCTAGAGGAGCTAGTATTTCAAACAGTATTTTTAAATGGGAATGGAATAGTAAGACCAGTGGGTGAACAGGCTACTGACAGATGATCCTCCTAAAGAAATGACTAGGGTGAGACCAACCACAAAAAAAAAAGGTTGTGGCAGGGGCACCTGGGTGGCTCAGTTGGTTGAGCATCTGCCTCCGGCTCAGGTTATGATCCCAGGGTCCTGGGATCAAGCCCTGCGTTGGCAGGTTCCCTGCTCAGCAAGGAGTCTTTCTCCCTCTACCCCTCCCCTCTGCTCGTGCTCTCTCGCTCTCTCAAATAAACAGAATCTTAAAAAAAAAAAAAAAAAGGTTGTGGCAGAGACTTGCTGCCTATTCAAGATTCATTCTCCCTTTCCTAGAAAAAGTTACTGATTTTGTTGGAAGAATCCTTCCTTATAGCTACAGTGGCCACATGACAATTCTGGCAATGAAAGAAAAGCAAGGGTTTCTGGAAAAATGTTGCTATCCCTGCTTTAGGTACGAGTACTTCCTGTATCCTGTTTCCTAGACGACAGATCTCACATCTGTGCTACAGCATGATGCCACAAAGAAGGAACATTCAAGAAATTCATAAGAGTCCTAGGTTCTCACATCTTTAAGAGTGGACCAATACTAGCTATATAAACTGAGTCATCATTTTGTTTAGAGCATTATTATTTGGATTTTTGTTAAAAGCAACCAAACTCAATCCTTAACTGATAAAAAAGTACAGTGTGATCACATTTTACGCCAATCAGATTTCCGCAAGTTTGTAGTGAGATACAAAGGAATTAATTAAGTCTCACTTTGTGTGCAAATTTAAAATAATTCAGGGGCACCTGGGTGGCTCCGTCGTTAAGCGTCTGCCTTCGGCTCAGGTCATGATCCCAGGGTCCTGGGATTGAGCCGTGCATCAGGCTCCCTGCTCAGCGGGAAGCCTGCTTCTCCCTCTCCCACTCCCCATTTGTGTTCCTACTCTTGCTCTCTCTCTGTCAAATAAATAAATAAAATCTTTAAAAATAAATGAATGAATGAATGAAATAAAATAATTCAAATCACTCCAAATTAAAATTCAACAGGGAGGGCTTAACTTCAAAACTGGTTAAGCCAAATGAACTGTATTGATGCTACTTTCACACAGCAGTGTCATCTCACTTGGTAAGAAAACTGGCACCCACCATCCTTTTTCAATATTGTGGGAACGATTTTTTTTTTTAAAGATTTTATTTATTTATTTGAGAGAGAAAGAATGAGAGAGAGAGGGCATGAGAGGGAGGAGGATCAGAGGGAGAAGCAGACTCCCCTCCGAGCAAGGACTCCAGGATCATGACCTGAGCCGAAGGCAGTCACTTAACCAACTGAGCCACCCAGGCGCCCCATGGGAACGATATTTTTGTTAAATGCACTAGAATTTCAGCTGGTGACTAATATGCTGCCTTTTATTTTTGAATATTATTGCTGTTATGTTAAACTGTTTCTGGCATCTGTTAATAATATCGACCAAAGTTCTGTAGGTGGGGGTGTTGGTGCCAGTGTGAAAAAGAGCACCCTTAAATCAGTAACTTTGGAATCGAAGTCTTATGTGATAAGAAAACATCATGTCCACATTACTATGGTTTTTTCCATGCTTAGCAGCAAAAATACACTCATTGATTGTAGACTTATGTGCCCCAAGAACCCATCAATTCCGTTTATCATTTATTCCTACAAAGAAACTAATCTTGAAATACTTGATTTCAAGTACTGATACTTAATTGATACTTAATTTTTACAGGCTACTAGAAACATTCTCAAAAAACTGCACTGCCTTGAACCTGACATAGCTAAAGGAATAAATAGGGTTTATGAAACGATAAAATAATGAAGTGAAGACTAGATAAAAATTTTATTTTTAAAAAAAATTTTTAAAGATCTATTTATTTGAGAGTGAGTGAGCAAGCAAACAAGTGGGGGGGGGGGGGGAGCAGAGGGAGAGGGAGAGAGAAACCCAAGCAGGCTCAACAGAGTGCAGAACCCAACAAGGGCTTGATCTCACCACCCTGACATTGTGACCTGAGCCAAAGCCAAGAGTTAGACACTTAACCAAATGCACCACCCAGACGCTCCTGGATAAAAATTTTAAAGTACCAAGTTAGGATTTTAAACAAATTCTGCAATATAATGAGAAGCTATCAGAATGAGTGATTCAAGGAGACAGAAGTAAATATTGCCATATGCTTTATATCACCGTGGGGATAAATAATACCCTAACTTCTTTATTTGGACAAATGAGAATTGATAAATGTCTAAATGCTTTTAGGAAAGCAACCTTGCTTAAGGGGTTATTAATGTCATAAGGTGACAACTGTGAAATGTGTGATTGTAATAAAGCTAACGTATCTTTGTAATGAGAAGCAATTATTATTATTTCCAAGAGATAAAGAATAGGGCATTGACCTAAGTGAAGTAAGTCAGAGAAAGACTAATACCATATGATTTCACTTACATGTGGAATCTAAGAAACAAATGAACATACAAACAAACAAAAAAACCATACTCAAATACAGAGAAAAAACTGTTGGTTGCTAGTAGGGAGGTGGCTTGGGGGATGAGCAAAATAGATAAAGAGTATTGAGAGTACAAAGTTCCAGTTATAAGTAAGTCATGAAGATGGAAAGTATAGTACACAATATACTCAGTAATATTGTAATAACATTGTATGGTGACAGATGTTGACTACACTTATGGTGGTGAGCACTGTGTAATGTAGAGCTGTCTACAGAACCGTGGAATCAACATGTTACATACCTGAAACTAATGTAACATCATATGCCAATTATGCTTAAAAATAAAAACAACAGAGCACTGACTAATGCTTAGATTTCTTAAAACTGTCTACATTACAAAGAATTTTTAAGTACCTTAAAGGAATAGACCATGTTTGGTGTATGACTCACTACAGGGATCAAAGGGTTCACACATAGTAAGAGCTCCAGAAATACGTATCTATTGAGGTGACTTACCTGACATAACATAACACCACTTAAGGGCCTTTACAGCCATGTGATTTTTTTAAACTCTCTTTCCCTAGCAATATATAATGGGAACAAATAAGGTCAATGACTCATTCCTTTTTTTTTTTTTTTTTTTAAGATTTCATTTATTTATTTGAGAGAGAGCATGAGAGAGTATGAGCGGAGGGGAGGGGAGAAGGGGCCTGCAGGGCTCGATGCAGGGTTGGATCCCAGAACCCTGGGATCATGACCTGAGCTGAAGGCAGACGCTTAACAGACTGAGCCATCCAGGTACCATGATTCATTCCTTTCATTTTTCTTTGCCTTCTGGCTAAGAGATTAGGAAGAAAGTACTCTGGAGAAACTCCATGTTAAGCCATTTCCTTAATCCTCCAACTACTAACCAGGAAAACATCACAGGTCCTCTCCTCTTTTCTCTCTCGATATTTTCAGGTGCAAATCCAATTATTTTTAGAACACTTAACATAAAAATGATAGGAAATAATGTTAGTCAAATGGATGAACAGGGTACACCAGAAAAGACTCATCTTTTTTCTCTATAGTTTGGTTGAAATCTTCCTTTTCAAATCCTCTACTATAATGCATACTTAAGTTCTGAATTTTAACTGTAGAGATCTCTGAGAATGTGGTCACCAAATTATTAATGATAATGAAAGAATTTTAAAGGTAATTATGTAGTAGAGCTAAAGATAATTTCCAGTGTTTTCTTTACACTTTTTAATTTTTAACAGGAAATAGGTATTTTTATAAGCACAAAAAGTTACTATAATTTCGAAGGAAAACTTAATTAACACTTGCTCATTCACATTTAGTTACATTTTCCATGGCAATTTGTATCCAAAATGATCTCTGCCACCTAAAATATTCACAGAAAGTATGTTATCATGGAAAATAAATTTTATAATCTAAACATTAGATTACAGACCTAAACATATATGATTATAAATATATATATGTGCAATGAAAAACATTCAATGTGAATTTTAAAGGTAAATATTAAAGATTTGGCATAACCAACATGAACTAAAATTTCATTACAATAAAACTTCAAAATTCTAGCAGACTGAGCAACATGTAAATTTTTCGTTTTCGTGAATTTGAGATTTAGACCTGAGAATGATGTGAACATAGCTGCTTAATGAAATCTTGATTTAAAAAAAAAAAATGAAATCCTGATTCTACTTCTTTCTCTGTAGTATGAACTTAAACTTCATAAACTGTCATTTTCACACAGCCACTTGGCTCCCCAGAGCTCCTATAGCAGAGACCTCCCTCCCTACCTACTCTGTCCTCCCCTGTAGCTTTCTTCAACTGCACTTCCATCTGACTTCATGACTTGACCTTTTAAATCCCAGAAACCACAGAGAAAACTAAAGAAATAATTATTTTGTTTTACTAATTAATGGAATTGTAAACAACATTCTTTGCTGATTAGAATATACAAATTTGTATACACAGTTAAATTCTCTCAATGGAAACATTTGGGTAGGAGATTATCAAAATAGTCTTATGTAGTGTAAGTAAGAAAAATCCCTTCTTTTGTCTTTCAAAATTCCTACCTCATCAAATCCAGCAGCTTGCAAGTCTTGAAGCATTTGTGGATTAACTTCTGAAGTACTCCGACTTGTTTCATTTGCAAATGGTTGTAGAGAGTTTCGAATTTCCAGCAAGGCTTTATGATGCGTCCCAAATTTGGGTGGATTTCTGACTTGTCGAGGATCTTCAGCTGACATTTTATTCATGTTATGCTCAGCCTTAGCAGCATCTGATGGTTTGGATAAATTCCTAAGGGATTCCCGAATTTCTTGCAACATCTGCCGGCTACTGCCAGTGTAGTTACTGGCAGGAAAGGTCTTAGGCCTCATTTGTCTATATCCTTCTGGCTTTTCACTCCTCTTCATGAAAACATCTATATTTATAACCCACACAAAGGATTTCTTTAAGACCTACTTGATAGATCCAGAACTTTCTCTTGAGCAAAACTGAAAAAGATCCTTTGCAGAAGTCCCCAGGAATGATGAAATTCTTTACAATCTAAATAATTAACCCTATAAAAGAAAAAAAAAAGCCATAAAGTGATTAACTGATAAAGTAGTACCATGTGTTTGAGGGAAAACAGAGTAGAGACCTGGGTTATAGTTCTGGCTCCATTAAGGATTACTGTACAGGGGGCGCCTGGGTGGCTCAGTCGTTAAGCATCTGCCTTTGGCTCAGGTCATGATCCCGGGGTCCTGTTCTGTGGGAAACCTCCTCCCTCTCCCACTCCCCCTGCTTGTGTTCCCTCTCTCGCTGTGTCTCTCTCTGTCAAACAAATAAATAAAATCTTAAAAAAAAAAGCGGGGGGGCGCCTGGGTGGCTCAGTCGTTAAGTGTCTGCCTTCGGCTTAGGTCATGATCCCAGGGTCCTGGGATCGAGTCCCACATCGGGCTCCCTGCTCTGCAGGGAGCCTGCTTCTCCCCCCCCCCTCCCCCTGCTTGGTGTTCCCTCTCTCATTGTGTCTCTCTCTGTCAAATAAATAAATAAAATCTTTAAAAAAAAAAAATTAAAAAAAAAAAAGATTACTGTACAGCCAGGAAAAGTTAGTTAACCTCTCTGTGCCTATTTCCTAATCTATAAAATTACATCAAGTACTGGTTATGATAAAATATAATTTTAAGAGTGCTTAGTAAACTGGGGTGCCTCGCTGGCTCAAAGACCATGCAACTCTTGATCTTAGGGTCATGAGTTCAAGCCCCATGTTGGGTGTAGAGATTACTTAAATAAATTAAAAACTTAAAGAAAAAAAGGAGTGCTTAGTAAGCATATAAAGTATATACAGATAGAAGGATTACCAAGTGAATGATACAATGGACAGCTCTCATTAACTTCACCTTGCAGTTCCAATTCTAGATTTTAAAATTGGACTTTGGGGCGCCTGGGTGGCACAGTCGGTTAAGTGTTTGACTCTTGGTTTCAGACTCAGGTCATGATCTCAGGGTTGTGAGATCGAGCCCTGTGTTGGGATCCATGCTCAGCACAGGGTTCTGCTTGAGATTCTCTCTCTCCCTCTGCCCCTCCCACTCATGCTCTCTCTAAATAAATAAATCTTAAAATAAAATAAAATTAGACTTCAAGTATAAGATTTCTTTAGAAGAAACAGTACTGTTGCTTTAGAATGGTTTTTAAACCACTAGTCCAGAAGGTACCTTTATGCTTCAAAAAACAGATGCTTGAGCTTATTTCACCAACTGTGGACTAGGACTCTAAGTTTATTAATGACAGGACAGGGAAAGGATGTCTGTGGACAACTTGTCTTATGCCTCACTTAATGCATGAATGTCTTTTAAAACACACTAGAATTTGCAATGATGTGGATGGAACTAGAGGGTATTATGCTAAGCGAAATAGAGAAAGACAATTATATGATCTCACTGATATGCAGAATTTAAGAAACAAAACAGAGGATCACAGGGGAAGAGAGGAAAAAATAAAACAAGATGAAACCAGAGAGGGGGGCACCTGGGTGGCTCAGTCCTTAGGTGTCTGCCTTCGGCTTAGGTCATGATCCCAGGGTCCTGGGATTGAGCCCCACATCGGGCTCCCTGCTCGGCAGGAAGCCTGCTTCTCCCTCTCCCACTCCCCCGGCTTGTGTTCCCTCTCTCGCTGTCTCTGTCAAATAAATAAATAAATAAATAAATAATCTTAAAAAAAATAAACAAACAAACAAAAAAGAAACCAGAGAGGGAGACAAACCATAAGGGACTCTCAATCATAGGAAACAAACTGAGGGTTGCTAGAGGGGATGGAGGTAGTGTGGGATGTGGTAACTGGGTGACGGACATTAAGGAGGGCATATGATGTAATGAGCATTGGGTATTATATAAGACTGATGAATCACAGACCTGTACCTCTGAAATCAATAATACATATGTTAATTAATTGAATTTAAATTAAAAAAAATAAACTGGGAAAAAAAAACATACTAGAAGAACAGTCACCTAAAGTCTACTTAAATATCCTCACTGATAGGGAAATCACTAATGCAAGAAAGCCATTCTACTTGTGACCTGCAGCAAGTGTTAAAGATGTTTTCTTTCCATGGAGCATCGTGAAATCCCACTCAGTACATGTTGAGAGGCTTTTATGGGCTGGTAATAAATAATTTTGCCTACATCCTTATTTAACTATCCTAACAGCCCTGTGAAGAAGGTTTACTATCTCTGCTTTGTACATGAGGAAACAGGTTCAGAGAGTTTGGGAAAAACAGATTGTAAGTGGTACCACTGGGATGTGAAACATTGCTAATTATCATCTACTAGGAGCCTATTTCTATTATATTTTTTTAAGTAATCTCTACACCAATGTGGAGCTCGAACTTACAACCCCTACATCATGAGTCACAAGCTCAGGGCGCCTGGGTGGCTCAGTCGGTTAAGTCTCTGACTCTTGATTTCGGCTCACATCATTATCTCTCAGAGTCGTGAGATTGAGCCCTGTGTTCAGCTCTGCGCTGGGCATGGAGCCTGCTCGGGATTCTCTCTCTCTCCCTCCGTCCCTCTCCCAGCACGCACATGCTCTCTCTTCCTCTCTAAAAAAAAAAAAAAAGATCGACTGAGCCAGCTAGGTGCCCCATTTCTATTCTTATAAATGTAATCATCATTCATGTTACATAAAAAGGTCTACAGGCAAATATAAATACATCCTCCTAGTCATTTAGGTCTCAGCCTTATGTTACCTCCTCAATAGCTCTCAATGACTGGTCACCTAATTACCCTGTTTTACTTTCTTAATAGTACTTATTACTATCTAAAATTATCATAATTGTTTAGTTGTTAATTGTCAATCTTCCCTCACTGACATAAAAGCTCCATGAGAACAGAAGACGTTATTTGTCTCATAACCACTGTCTGTTCAATGCTATCAGAGGCTGACACATAGTGAGCCCTCAATAAATGTATATGTTGACAAATGAAATACACGTGTCTCCTAAACAACCCCAGTTCCTTTAAAGATTTATTTATTTGAGAGACAGAGCAAGCATGATTTGGGGAGGGGCAGAGGGAGGGAGATAGGAAGAGAATCTGAAGCAGTCTCCCCACTGAGCATGGAGCCCTACTGGGGGTGGGGGGCTTGATCTCATAACCCTGAGACCATGACCTGAGCCAAACAGAAGAGTTAGATGCTTAACTGACTGAGTCACCCAGGTACCTCTAAATGTTCCTAATTCTAGCCATACTCTTCTGGATAATGCTCTAGTTTGTCAAAATCCTAGAGGTGCCAGAAAGTAATGGAAAAACAAAAAAATTATTCAAGTACCTGTTCTGTTAATTTTAGCAATGTGAACTTAGGTATTTATTTCTCTCAAAAACTGTCTCCTGAGGCATAAAATGGTTGGAATAACAAGGTTTACCTTAAGGCTTGAATAAGGATTATGAGGAACAGTGCAATACAACTAAAGGAACACAAGGGTTCGAAGATGAAGGATGCTCCTTGCAACACCATTTATAACGGCAAAACATGATTATCAGTCTAGATGCTCATCAGTAATTGAGCAACTGACAGTACATCTGTATGTGATGAAGCAGATGTTAAAAAGAATGATGCGGGGCTCCTGGGTGGCTCAGTTGGTTAAGCGACTGCCTTCGGCTCAGGTCATGATCCTGGAGTCCCGGGATCGAGTCCCGGGATTGAGTCCCGCATCGGGCTCCCTGCTCGGCAGGGAGTCTGCTTCTCCCTCTGACCCTCCTCCCTTTCATGCTCTCTGTCTCTCATTCTCTCTGTCTCAAATAAATAAATAAAAATCTTAAAAAAAAAAAAAAGAATGATGCAATTCTATCTAAATGTACTGACAAGAATAGATACCAATAACACATTCTTTTTTTTTCTTTTTTTATAGATTTTATTTATTTACTTGACAGAGGGAGAGAGAACACAAGCATGGGGAGCAGCAGAGGGAGAGGGAGAAGCAGGCTCTGCGCTGAGTAGGGAGTTCGATGGGGGGCTCAATTACAGGACCCCGGGATCATGACCTGAGCCGGAGGCAGACACTTAACCAACTGAGTCACCCAGGTACCCCCTCATAACACATTCTTAAGCAAAAAGGGCAAGTTTCAAAATGCTACAGATAAAATAAAGCCATTTTCTATTTTAAAATTAGATTATTATTATGGTTGTATAGCTCTGGAAATGAACCCTGAACAACCACTGAATTGTATACTTTAAATGAGTAAATTTTATGGTATATAAATTTTATCTTATAGCTGTTAAAAATAAACACTTTTTGGGGGCTCCTGGGTGGCTCAATCAGTTAAGCGTTCGACTCTTGATTTCGGCTCAGGTCACAATCTCAGGGTCATAAGATTGAGCCCCATGTCAGGCTCTGTGCTGGGCATGGAACCTGCTTAAGATTCTCTCTCTCCCTCTCCCTTTGCTCCCCTCTCCACCACTCTTTCTTCTCACAAACAAAAAAACCCACAAACAAAAAACTAAACACTCTTCTATTTTTAAAAATTACACTTATGAATGTTAATTATACATACACATAAACAACTGTTTGCAGCAGGCCTGAAAAAGGATGAAGTCCTGAAACAGACTATCAGAGGCAGTTTCGTGATGACTTTGCCTCAGTAATCAGTTCTTAGTTAATTATGATCAATCCAATTCTACTTAACAAGCAGCACGTATTTCTTTTTTTTTTTAAAGATTTTATTTATTTATTTGAGAGAGAGAGAATGAGAGACAGAGAGCATGAGAGGGAGGAGGGTCAGAGGGAGAAGCAGACTCCCTGCAGAGCAGGGAGCCCGATGCGGGGCTCGATCCCGGGACTCCAGGATCATGACCTGAGCCGAAGGCAGTCGCCCAACCAACTGAGCCACCCAGGCACCCACGTATTTCATTTTTTAAAAACAAAAATGAACTCTGTCATTGTACTGCTGAAAATTACACATATTCTGTCTACAACATAACCCAATCTACTGATAACTACTTCATAAATGAAATAAAGATGGACACATCTTATGCTTTTATGAAGGAAGCTGGTCCCTAATGATAAGCAGTTTTCCCCTAAGCCTTCCCAAAATATTAATAGCCTACTAATGAAATTTTTTAGGTTTCACATTTAGCTCACCAGTCTAAAATTTACAGAATTCCCCTCTTGCCCTTCCTGAAAGTGAAAATATTTTCCATTTCCTGTTCTGCAACCTATCATTTCTCTGCAATCAAGGATTAACGATAGTGGTTATGCAATGTCATGTGTCAGTTCTCTCAATATCTGAGTTATATTTCATTCATAGCATCTAAGCATTCCATTACTAAGTCACTTATTTTGGGTTTCAACTCCAAGTTTAGTACCATTTTACTATAAGTATTTTACCATTTCCAGTATCATTCTCCTTGACAGAGAAGATAAAAATTAACAAAATAAGCATAACTTGCTTTTCTCTGTAAATATACAACATTTGCTTCCATTCCTAACACAGAGCCTGGTAAACAGTAAGCAGTGCAAAAATATCTGCTGAACTAATAAATGCAAGTGATTTATCCCTTCTTTTTACTCTTAAAAAACTATAATCTTAGTTTTTTCTAATTATACAAAAATGCATCCTTATTGAAAAACTTAAATATTATATAATATAAAGTAGAAGTCCCTCATAATTCACCTCCCTCAACAGTAAGAATCACTTCAGTAGCCTGAATAATGGCATCCTAAAAGATATCTACTTCCTAATCCCTAGAATCTAAATGTTATCTTACTTGGAAAAAGGGACTTTGCAGATGTCATTAAGGATTTTGAGATGGAGAAATTATCATGGATTATTCAGGTAAGCAGTACACACAATTACAAGTGTTCTTCTGACAAGGGGGAGATCGGATACACACAGAAGGGGAAGAGGCAATGTGTCCGAGGGGACAGAGACTGGAGTGATGTGGTCAGAAGCAAGGAATGCCGGCAGCCAAAATGGCAAGGAACAGATTTTCTCCTAGAGCCTCTTGGAGAAGAGTGGCCTTGTCAACACCTTGATTTTGGGCCAGTGATACTGATTTTGAATTTCTGGCCTCCAGAACTTTAAGAGAATAAATGTACGCTTTTTAAATCCTCATGTGTAGTGATTTGTCATGTAAGCGGCACAAAAGTATATTAATACTGCATACTCTAGACATTTTCAAAGAAGACATACAAATGGACAACAGATACATGAAAAGATGCTCAACATCACTAATCATCAGGGAAATGCAAACCAAAACCACAAGAAGCTATCACCTTATACCTGCCAGAATGGCTAGAATCAAAAAACAAGAAATAACGTTGATGAGGATGTGGGAAAAAGGAACCCTTGTACCCTGCTGGTGGGAATGTACTTTGGTGCAACCACGGTGGAAAACAGTATAGATGCTCCTTAGAAAATAAAAAATAGAAATACCATACAATCCAGTAGTTCCATTACTGAGTATTTACCCAAAGAAAACGAGAACCCTAATTAAAAAAGATATATGCAGGGGCACCTGGGTGGCTCAGTCGTTAAGTGTCTGCCTTCAGCTCAGATCATGATCCCAGGGTACTGGGATTGAGCCCCACATCGGGCTCCCTGCTCTGCGGGAAGCCTGCTTCTCCCTCTCCCACTCCCCCTGCTTGTGTTCCCTCTCTCATTGTGTCTCTCTCTGTCAAATAAATAAATAAAATCTTTAAAAAAAAAAAAAGATATATGCATCCCAATGTTTACTGCAGCATTATTTATCATAGCCAAGATATGGAAGCAACCTAGGTGTCCAATGACAGACGAATGGATAAGGATGATGTGGTATACACACACACACACACAACGTACTATTACTCAGCCATAAAAAAGAATGAGATCAGGGCAGCCTGGATGGCTCAGTGGGGTAAGTGTCTGCCTTTGGCTCAGGGCATGATTCCAGGGTCAAGGGATCATGACCCTGGGATCAAGCCCCATGTTGGGCTCCCTGCTCAGCAGGGAGTCTGCTTCTCCCTCTCCTTTTGTCCCTCTCTCCCGCTTGTGCTCTCTCTTAAATTAATAAATAAAATCTTAAAAAAAAAAAAAACCAAAAAACCCAAAATGGGATCACAAAATATGACATCATTTTATATAATACATGAATTTATAAGAAGAAAATGCTGTGTTGCCCAAACTTCTCTGACCAAAGAACTTTTTTCCTTCCGAGCATTTCATGAGATTCATTTCTATGGAATATATTTTAGAAGATGCTGGGCCAGGGGCACCTGAGTGGCTCAGTTGGTTAAGCGTCTGCCTTTGGCTCAGGTCATGATCCAGGAGTCCCCGGATCAAGCCCCGCATTGAGCCCCACATCGGGCTCCCTGCTCAGTGGGGAGTCCACCTCTCCCTCTGCTCCTCCCCTTGCTCATTCTCTCACTTGCTCACTCTCTCAAATAAATAAAATTAAGAAAAGGAAAGGAAAGGAAAGGAAAGGAAAGGAAAGGAAAGGAAAGGAAAGGAGAGGAAAATGCTGGGCCAGTCATTCTAATCCTGTATTCTGTAACTCTGTACTTGAATGATGTAATTTCTTCTAACAGTGTTAACATCTGAGTATACAATGGTCCAGAAATGACTG